GGGGTTGCGTGTGGGGGGGGGGTGCACGGCCCAACAGGGTCATCTCTTGTCTGGGGCCCTGGATACTTCCATGATACCAATACCATAATACTAATAATGTGATGTGCCAAAGCACTGAAGCATTAGCTTAACTGCTCCAATTAAATCAGAGAGATGGTTGCTGCAAAGTTAGGGCAGCACTAATATCCTTTCACCCTGCATACATACAGAGCTAACAGCTGGAGCTGATCCAGCACGGGTGCTTCTACCCCATCATATAATGCATCCCAAGGAGAAAGCACACAGGAAAGTGATCAACAATGTTGCTCAGGCATGAAGAACAATGAAGGCTCCACTAAGTCATAGGCCTTTTTGCTGTGGCAGATGGGAAAGTCTTTAAGTATCTTCAGTAGATTATATCTATGCATGTCCATCTCAGACTCATGCCTAGGAAACTTTCACATCACACCTTCACATATACCAACTCTTTTTCTCATATTACATACATCCTGCAGAGAGCCAGATCCTCAGCTGGTGAAAATCAGTATAAGACAAGAGAAATCAAAAGAGCTATGCTAGTTTACACTGCCAAGAATTCGCTGTGTATCGTTTTGTTTGCAACTGTCTGAAATATGTCCCATTTCTTTACTGTGGCACACGGCCTCTGATGTGGTCTCTTACTTATATCTTAACATCATCCCTGATCTCCACAACTAGGAGCTTATTCTGATTATTCCCTTTGGAGAATTAAGTAAGTAACTATTACTTACTCTAAAATTAACTCTTAAAAGCCTCCCCCTTCAGCCCACCTCCTGTCCCTAGCATTCAGGGTTCTGTGAATCAGTACTATGAGCTGGATCTAAATTTGATAGCGGGATCCTATTAAAATGTATATGTTTGGAGAAGACTGGAAACAGGGAATGCCATTATTTCAGATACACTCATCAGCTCTCACTCAGACTAGTTCTCAATGCTGTGATAAGACTTACCTGACATGCATCTATTTTCCCCTCCAAGTATCCTGCACACACCATCCCAGGTGTTATGGCTCCATTGTATACTTCCTTGCCGTTGCAGGTATTAGTGCCAATGATTTTCACTTCTGCTTGCCGTAGTTGATTAACGCTTTGACCTGCCATGAAAAAGTGGCTTTAGAACTTACAATTGGAATCTATTAGCTAAGGGAAGTGAGAAACGAGTAGCCAGGCTCTCAAAAAAACTTACTGGCCATATAGGCATCTAGGTGGGGTGGCCGGATTGATGCTATGGGAAGATCATAACTTTTTCTTTTTGTTTCTCCATCTCCCTCCTCCAACAAGATGCCATAGATAAACCCTCCCCATTACTTTTTTTAGCTTCACTTATTTAACATTAGGAGAGCAAAGGGATTTCTTGTGCCTGTTAAATGCGGAGGTCTCAGTTAACTTCATTAACTGTAGGAAGTTAATGAATATTAGTAACATCCTCAGGAAGGGCCAAGGAGTCAATCAGAACATGAGCTTGGACAATCTAAGTACACAGCAAGAGACTAGCACTGAAATGCAGGTTTGGCCTCCAGTACAGCCAAATTCATAGACACACTCTTAGGTTTAAACATGTGCCTAAGTCCCATTGACATCAACATGACTTCAAATTAAGCATGTGCTTCTGTGCTAAATTGGGGCCTGAATTAGCTGAATTGCAACCAGACAGAAATGAAAGGATGAAAACATCTATGGTAAGTCAACATACAGTTTACAGACACTAGGTTCTCAAGAGCTTATACCAAATATGAATGCAAAAGAAAAAGCAAAGAATAGAGGTCAACAGCTGAGGGAATGAATGAAATCCGCTCAGTCATTGTAACGGCAGAAGGAGCAATGAGCCAGAGTCCTTTCTTGTTCCTGTACAAACAGTCTGCAGGTCTATCCTGTTATGAACCACGCTGAAAAGCCAGATAAAATGTCATGTCATGGGATGAGCCAACTGGTGTATTATGTTCAAATATTAAGCTTTGCTGTCACGTCAACAGAAGGAGACAGAATTTAGGAAGGAGGTAGGTCAATCTGAAGTCAGGCAGAAAGCAGAGTAAATTTGCACCTTCTAAATGAACTAAAACAGAGATGTATAGCATACGCTTTCTTAAGCAGCGGGTTTTTGAAGATATCACCAGGCAGCACCTGAAGAAGTAAGCCTGATGATTATAAAAGCTTATGCTATGCATTTCTGCTTTGGTCAGTCTAGAAGGTGCAAATCTAACCTGTCTTCTGATAGAATTTAAGGCCAGACAGGACAATTATGATCACCTAAGTGTCTGCCCCCCTGTGTTGACCAGGCCATAGATTTCTCCCTGATGGTTCCTGCATAGAAAGGAATAATTCTGTCCTACCAAATAAGTAACTACCATAGATACAAGAGTTAGTGGTTGAGCTGAAACATCCCATTCAGAAAGACATCCCACCCTGACTGAAAAAAAATTGCAAGAGATGATCAATTTACCATTGCTCCTGGTGGGTTGCCTTAGTGGCTAATGAGCCACCAGGCAAATGAAATAAATAATGGTTTCATTCTGATGAGTGACTGAAAATGAACTAAAAATGTTAAACAGACAATGGGAGTTTTCTTTGGAAGGCAGGAAGACAGACACTCACCATCATCCCGCAAAGCTCCCCATCCTGTGACAAAACAGCTGGTGTTCTCCGGAAACACCTGCAATGATTCTGGGAGGCAGACACTGTGCATTTCACTTGTGAAGCTCAGAGGAGTGGCGAGCTTCATGACAGCAATGTCATACTCGTGGTTATAAAGATAATCAGCATATCGTTCATGAACAATAATGCTATGGATGGATCTTCTCTCTTTAGGAGGTCTTCTCACAGTCCCAAAGCTGGCAGTCCACAAACGAGGGTCCTTCACTCTAAGAGAGATTTGAGGTTAACCTGGCAATATGCAGAGCCATATTTTCAAAAGGGCTCAGCTTCCAGACAGGTGCCTAAATGCCATGATCAAGTGCATCAGGAAAATGCCCAGAGCAGAGAGGATGGCTAGAGCACTGCAGTGATCCAGGACCCACCTACGGAGAAGTTACCAGCTGCTGTAAGGTCAGAACAGACCTGGGACTTTCTGGCCAGCACTGAGTGCTGAACTGGTACCCAGCAGCCCGAATTCTGGAGGGACAGAAAAATAAAATATAGCCTTTGCCTTTGACCACCCATTTTGGGGCCCCCACCCCCAAGTCCAAAGCAACCAGATCAGAAGGTCAGGACTCTGGAATATTTAGCAGTCCAGCTGTGGTTCCAAATATCACAGGATCTAAGGAGTGAGGCTGTGCATGGTTCCTTGTGGCCATATCTCTCAGAGCTGGAGACTTACCCTCTGAAGCAGTGTGCTGCTGTTACAAGCCATGTGTTGCTGATGATTGATGCACCACAGCGATGCACGCCATTCAGCTGAATGCTGGCCTGCCATGGCCACTCCCCAGCCTGGGCAAGCCGGCCCCCTGTTATTCTCGCTACTCCCACAGATGACACCATCTGCGTTCGTGTCCCGCAGCCTGCCAAAGAAAGAGTTGGCCTAACTTCTCCGAGTCGGAAAAAAACAAGCATTTCTTTTTTGAAGGCCCCCAACATGGTACACAGAAATAGGTGCTGGCATTTTGTTATATTCTTATAAAAGAACAATTTTAGGATAAATTTAGGATCAACAAAAGTTTAGGAAAAATACCACAACACTTGGCATTCAACCACAGTCACACAGGATGAGACCTTATATGCTCACATGCACACCACTCTGTAGCTAAAAAGGGCCCTGGCATCAGCTGTGTCCTAGGATTCAAAGCCTGACTTTTCCCTTGGAGATTGCTGGCACCAAGAGTGGAAGTGTCATTAACAATGTTTAGATGCTGCACTGTCATTCCACTGTTGGTAGAAAACCCTCCAGGAAACTGGGGGACCTGGATTGAACAATGACAACTGGGCCTATTCCCTGCTGTTGCCAGGGGAATATGTCTGTCACTGTGAGAAGCAATGAGCCTGAGTTCAGCAGAAGCTTCATCAGTTGCTTCTGCAAGTGGGTGCCTGTCAGGTGCTAAGGAGGCTGCTGGACGTGAGGCCACAGAGAGGACCAGAGTACATGCTGGAGGCAAAGAAGACTTCAGCATGTTAGCACCTTCCAGGGACACCAGCACCTTAGGAGCTCTGGCCTGAGGAAGCAGAACCAAGGCCAGCATGAACTGTGCAAGCACAGACCTTCATGGCTGGGTTTTCAGTGGAGTTCAGCTCCCATTTTAAGCAACTAAATGAAAAGGCAGGATTTTGGAGCACCCACTGAGGTCTATGGGAACTGTGGAGAGCTGCTAGCAACAGAGCTCTGGTGAAAAAGAAGCCATCAGCATCTGCCTGGGACACAGAACCAAGACTGACTCAAAGCCAATGTCTTCTGTCATTCTTAACGGGACGTTCAGAAGAGGAGCTCAGGGAATCCAGACTTGTTTTCTCTCACTAGATGCTGATGGTTTGTGATAAGATCCATGGAGCAAATCTTGTAATTGCCTGCAGATCTGAGGCAGCCAGGTCTGTCCAGGATGGACACTGTCCAGTCACACTTGGAACACCTCTCAAAAGTCAGAGTATAACATTTGTCAATGCAGCAATGCTCCCCAACATATCAGACAGAGTCAGATGGGAACCAAGGCATCCCGGATGCCATAGCTAAGAGCTGAAAGATTTCAGTGATTTAGTGATGCTGTTGTCTGTCAAAATCAGTGTAAAAATGAAAATCTGAGGATGATGGGAGATAGACCCTCCCTTTGCTGGCTGACCAACATAGCTGGTAACTGTTGCCAAACCCCACTAGGAAATAAGACAAATTAGGTGCACGTAGAAAAGAAGGTGAATATACAGCTGCTGTAGCCAGTTTCATCTACCCAAGGGAGTACTGTCATGGGCCAACACAGGCATCTGAAGCAGCAAGGAACAGCTGCATTCCACTGTGGGGATGAAGTTGGATCATCCAAGGTCCAGGTAGTCAGGGAGATGGGTTCTGACTGCTTTTGAGAAAGACTATGCAAGCAATTCCAATTTTGGCATTCAAGACATACCAGCAGGTGGCATGTGCCTCTATGTATTTGTATAGACATAACAAAAGCCCTTCTTCTCCCTCTCCCTCCTCACCAAAGCATGGTATTTTTGCCTAAATGGAAGCTAAAACTCACTGAATCAGTGCACAGAAGCCTCAATGAGCTTTTTATCAAGCCAACACCCTACGTACAAAACAAAACAAATTGAATGGGGAATGAGGAAACCCTTTACAACCCAGCAGAGAAATATATAAGCAAGGAGCGAAGTAACCAGGCACCACCTCTCATCTCAGCCAGATGGGTAGGGGAGTCACTGGCCATTTCAGCTTCAGTGTAGCATGTTCAGTAGTGATATGACCTAGCAGCTTAGGCAGGAAGGCAGGCAACTTAGGCAGGTGACATGATCCTGAGCAATTTTGGTATACATATAATCAAGTGTGTAGGGTGTTGGCTTTATAAAAAGCTCATTGAGGCTGCTGTGCACTGATTCAGTGAGCTTTAGCTTCCATTTAGGCAAAAATACCATAAATTGCAAGTGAATACAGAGGTACATTTCTTATACAAGAAATCAGGCAATTGAATTCTTAAGTTCTTGAGTCACTGGATACAAATGATGCAGGTTACATCTGTCACCAAAAGAGTTCATGATCTTCCTTCCCATGAGTATTAAAGCCGTGAATGTGCTTGGATACCATTATTAAACTCTGTAGTATGACTGCATCTTCAAATAATAGGGCTTGGGGGCACTAATAGTATCAGCTTCAAAGGACTTTTGAGGTATGTTTTTATTGCAATTGGTATTATGCAATGCCTAGAAGTCCAACCTCAGACTGGGGCCCAGCTATGCAAACACAAAGGGGAAGACAATTTCTGCCCTGCAGTTTTCAGCTCGTATCAGAGACGCAGGCAAAGTGTAGGATAAAAGCAGTATATACAATTATCCGCATTCTACTAAGAAAGAGAAAACAGCTAATATATCAATCTAGCAGAGACCTAATCACACAATTATCTTTTAAAGTTGGGATGTAAGATCCACGGTGAGCACCCTTGAAAGCTTGACTCTACCTTTTTGTAAAGAGTATTGGTCATTCACTAAAGCTGAGGTGAGCTCCAATGTGGACAATGGCTACATGGCCAGCCTCACCCCACAATCCCAGTGTAGAATCCTGTTAGCAATGCAAAACCAGCACAGCTCTGAGAAAGTAAACTGGATAATTTTCTGACTTGTGCATCATCCACAGCATAGTCACTTTGAAAATCATCTTTATCTTAGCACCCTGAGCACATCAAGAAATCATCAAGACTCAATAACTGTGGAACCCCACAATGCCACATCCCCCAGCATCATTAAGAAATCACTTGTACTTACAGTTGTTGAGAAGGTTTTCACCACTTTCCCTTTTGACTCCTGAAATAAAAACAAAATGAAACATGGTTAGCACCTGCTTCTGGCCACAGTGGATTTCCTTTCAGTCCTGTCATGCATAAATAAACTCTGGTTGGATGCATCACAGAGTTCACAGATATGCAGTGATTAATTCCGGGGGGCGGGGAGGCATTGCTTACACATACACAGATATTTCCCCAAATTGGTCTAACTATCTTCATATTTGGTCTCTAACAGAGCTAATAACAAGATACATTCATTTGTATTGCTTATATATTCGTGACTTATTGTTAAATATATGTTTTAAAGCCTGCACGATTAGGAAGCCATTAGTCGGTTAATTGGTAAGTGTAACCTGCTTGATTAGTCAATAGCCAGTGTCTGTACCCTGCTTGCAGTTAAGAAGCCTTGCTGAGAGGCTTTATGAGTTTTTAAACTCAAATGATAGCTGACTGCATTACAAAGGACAACACCATTGGCAGGGAAGGAGAGTTCTTGCAGAAACTAATGATATTTCTTACCTCGTTTAATAGACTAAAAGAATAGCAGAGAAAATATTATTAGAATCTTATTTTATGGAATAAGAAACCATATGTGAGGAGATATATATATATATTGCTGTCTTCTTTGACTGTAACAATGAACAAGAAGGTATAATGGGTTCCATCCCCAATAAGCCATTATGGTGCCCTCTAGCAGCTTTTTCAAGGGCTATTCTTCACTCTAGTTCACCAGGGCAATGCCCTGTCTTTGCTCCCACACCTGATGTTGATTAATATAACTTTGGGAAGCAACTCTCAGACTACCAGAGTGACTTCACTCTGCCTTGTAATTAATTGGGCCACCTCTGTCTGGCCCAATCTTTGACAAACTCTTATTATTTGCAAGGAAAGAAAGAAAATCATATGCAAAGGATGTAAATATTTCTGTCCTTCTTGACTAGACTAGGAGAGATAAGGCCAAATTCAGAACTGGGGGATTTATGTAGGAATCTCTAAGAGGAATGTTGTATGTTCATTAGATCAAGTCAGAGAAGACTCCCCAAGTCTGAGGGGAGAGAAGAGACACAAGGTAGACAAGCTGGGAGAATCATCAGTGAATATCAAGAAAATATGTTTCAGTAGGAGTATCTACACTAGACACTTTACTGTGCTCTAGACTAATGCCCAACGCAGCAAAGTGTCACCAGCTACATGTGCACACCATTTACTATGCAGTACATCAGTCTACTGAGTAGTTATCTACTACCTGTAAATACAGGTAGAAAACTAACTGTGCAGTAGATACTGTGCTTGTAGATGCTGACTGAGAGCAAATTCACTCCCAGTCAACCCCAACACCAGGGGGCCAGAGGTGATGGGGAACTCCCTAGGTCCTGGCACTGCTTAGCCCCTGGCTCCCTGCAGAAGCCGAGTAATGCTGAAACAAGGTAGCTCTCTGCCCTCACCTGGGAGCTTCTGGGGCAGCTCCATGCCAGTCCCTGGCTGGACAGAGGTTTCCCTGAGCAGCTGGGGGCTGGCTAGGAGCTGTCTCCCAGAGGCAGGACAGCTCCTGGCCATGCCCCCAGCTGCTCAGGTATTTCCCCACCCATCTTGGGGCTGACTGGGAGCTGCCCCAGAAGTGGGACAGCTCCCATCCAGCACCCTGCTGTGCAGGGAAGCCCCTGTGCATGGGGCTGGGAAAGTTCTGCAGCGGCAGCTATCTCCCTGCTTCATGCACATCAGGACCCCTCCCAATGTGCAGGGGGCAAGGAGACAGCTGCTGGTGCAGCCAGATGAGTTCTTCTAGTCCTGTACACATCAGGACAAGCCCCCTTGCTCTCTGCCACCCCCTGGACTAGCAGCCTGGGGGATCCCAGAGCTCCTGTTGGCTGCTTCAGGGGGCCAGAGCAGGGTAGAAACAGCCCTATACTGGGCAGCTCCTGTTGGGAACTGATTTTCTCCCAATAGGGAGCATGTGTAGATGTGCTCCCAGGGAAGGCTTACTGTACAGTATTTTAGTGCACAGTAAGCCTTTATAGCATTAATAGCATGTGTATCTGCACGCAGTAGCAAAAAGAACTACTGAAAATACTGCTCCAGGTGAAAAGGTCAGTGATTTCAGACATTATTTCTTTGTATTTTTCTTTCAAACTTAACAGGTTCTTTTTCTTCTTTTCTCACATGTTCTTCTGTCTAATGTGATAAATCTGTTCTGTTTTGAGTGATTTCAAGGCAGCTGACAACTACAAGCATTTCTTTCCCACAGAGATAGCAGGTCCTTAATATTTCACAAACTGGGGCTAAATGCCCAGTAAGCTCACAGGGTTTCCTCTATTGAGCTGCAAGGTCTGGTCAGGAACTAGGGATACTGAGATTTTCCAGGGGTGAAGTTAGCCCAGGGCCAAAAGCTAGTCTGTACCTTGAAGATATGCAGCAGAACAGTGGGGGAAAATTAGGGGACAGGTGTCACCCTGACAGTTTGTCACAGGGTGTTGCTGGGCTTGTGGTATTAAAGCAGGATAGATAGATAGATAAGTCTTTAAGATACAAATCTACCCTGCCTTCAGATCAACACAGTCAACTAGGTCTCTCTGCTACTGGTATGAAAACACAGCAGTGGTAATGCCTTACACCATTGTAAGGCTAAACAGTTAGCAGCAGGCCATTTGGGAGCTCAGTCAGATACAGAAACAATAAAGACATGCAAGTAATCACTTATTTTGACTGGGCTTCAAGATTGATCGTGGATTGAGCATGTGCCTAATCAAAAGCAATTCCCCAAAGGCAGCTACTGCTCAGAACTGGTGCACAAACTTGGTTGATGAGTTTGGCATAAAACCCTAAATGGATCTATTCAGATCAAATGAGGCTGGCAACTCTGCCAAAAGTACATCTTTACAAACCTATATCAACAGCTACCCATTTATTCCTTGTAGACATTTTACATTAGAATCATGACAAAGTAATGGAAAAGCACTGCTATTTACTCCCTTGCATATGCTGGAGAAGAGGGATAAATGACTGCATAACAGGCAGCAAGTCTAACATTAACCAAACGATTTTTTCACATAATGTATAATTAACTGGTGACATCAGCATGGCATCACCAAGACTAGAAGTTTAGAAGGATAGAGGAGAGAGTTAACCCAGTATATGGACAATGAGACCATCCATGGGTAAATTAAAGAGAGAAAGAGGTACAGGGGATATAAGCACTTCTCAATCAGGGTTTAACAAACTGCTAGAGCCTTGGGGTTAGGAAGGAGCCTCCCATAAAGGAGATTGTTCCATAAAGTGCTGCACCCCTTTGGGGCAGCCGATATTGCTGGAGACGTGCCACACTAGATGCATGCTCCATGTGATACAGTGCAATAATTCTGATATTCCTTTAAACTGCTCAATATAGCCAGGATAATTACCTTATCATTACGCACATGTAGAACAGGACTGCCAAGAATTGAAAGTTGTCTGCAGCATTTTTCAGCCATAAAACTAGTCAAATTATGTCTCAGGAGTTGCAGTTTTAAAAAGTAATCATTGACTATAACTGGACTATTAAGTTCTGACATGTCAATGCAATTAGTTATTTTAAAAACAGCCATGCTGGTGCCTCACCTAATCATTACAGAAGGAACATAATTGCCCTTGTAAGCAATTAGTTAAAAGGCTCCATAGGGGAGCATGACCAACAAGCTCAAAAGATCTTGTGCAAGATCAGAGTGTAGATGCACTGGGTGGGGGACCCTGCCATCTGCTCTCCCAGTGGAGTTCCCAGCTTCTCCAGTCTGCAAAACAAGCTTTTTTTCTAAGAAGGGCCACAGGGAAATCCTTGTAAATGATGTCCTACTTTGCTCCTACAAATGTCAAACTTGATTAGCAGAGCCAAGAGAAGGAAGGAGAACCTGTTTGCAGAAAACCACTGAGTGGGAAAAGCCCAGAAGTCAGCTAGCATGAAGTCTGACATAATGCCCCTGCATTGTCACAGCAATTCCTGAAGCTTCTACAAACCATCTCATCTTTCTGTGGCTGCAGAGGGCAAAGTCAATAATGCAGTAGAGCCGTCAGTCAGCCATATGCCACCTACATGCATGCTACAGGTTAACCAGCCCTGATGTATCAGATAAGTCCTCTTTTACAGATGATTGTGCTTGGAGACAACACAGTGACTGTACCTTGCTGATGGGCCAGAAGGGTTTTGTGCCCTATTGGAGAACAGTGGTGGTAAGCAATCAGACATTGCAGGAGAACATTACAATCTAAGGGTGGGGACAGATAGCATTTGAAGTGTTTCAGAAAGGAAATGTTTCAGCTGTGGACAAATACATAGCCTCTGATTGCACTCATCCCCTGCTGGTGTCGTGTTCCCCAGCCCTCAGTTACCCTGCTGGTCAGTGCAGCTCTTAAGGTGACCTAAGTGTGACCCTTTTCCAGATATTCCTGCATTAATGTTCTTGAAGGATTAAAAGCAAGTGGCAGAATGCTTTGAAATTTAGGGACACTGAGACATCCTTTGCCAGTGTAAATGAGTGCACACTGGTATACCAGTTGGGAATCTGGTCCATTGACTTGAATGGCACTCCAGCTGGTGTAAATCAGCATTGATCTGATCTGCATGAGTCGGCCCCACTTCTAGTTACAGTGTCCAGGCTTTCAGCCAAGGAAGAGATCACAACTACTCATGTTGTTATTCTGAGAGGAAGGAAGGAAGGAAGGAAGGAAGAACTCATATTTTGCACAACCAAAGGAAACATGCTTCCCCAAGAGAGGAAGAGTTTTGGAACAATCATGGTGAAAATTAAGCCTCAGATACTTGCTTGTGAGTTTGAAACTAGACGGATCAATTTCCAAGGACCCAGTGTATGTCTTCATCTGCTTAAGCAGAACCTTGTTGACTCGCTCCTGTTTTCCTGTCTGGCTATCAGCTGAGACGAACTCAAACATCAACACAACCTGTGCCACCACTCCTGTAGAGTCTGGGCTGCAAAATGACAAGAAAGAAAAAAAAGTAATTGACAGGTTTACCTTTTTGCCTTTGGTGCCTACTTAGTTTTCATTATTTCCTCAAGTCCATACCCAAGAGCTGACAGCCTGACACATAATGGTGAAAGAAAAGATGAAAACATTTCAGCAGGTAACAGGAGGCTTCATTTGCACTAGCTCCTACTAGCAAAACTGTTCGTGGGAGATCAGGAGAATCCTTCCATTAGCAAAGACAGTAGCAAAGTATGGGGGCAACTCCATGTGGTGCACCGTTAGGTGCAACTCCATGCAAGTCATCATCAGTGGGTAACCAACAATGGCTGCAACAAGAGATCCATGACCAAACTTTTTAGCAAAGCCAGAAGTTCCTCATTAAGGAACCCTGGCCATCAATTAAAATACTTCATTCTGAGCCCCACTGTGAGCCCTTTGAAATCATCAAATCATAGAAAGTTAGGGTTGGAAGGACCTCAGGAGGCCATCTAGTCCACCCCCACCATCCACCCCCCGACTCAAGGCAGGACTATCTCCAACTAGATCAGTCCAGCCAGGACTCTGTCAAAGCCAGACCATAAAAACCTCCAAGGATGGAGATTTCACCACCTCTCTAGGTAACCTTTTCCAGTGCTTCACCACCCTCCTAGTGAGAAAGTTTTTCCCAATATCCAATCTAAATTTCCCTTGCTGCAACTTGAAATGTCCAGCCTCCACCTCAAACACTTCAAAATGAAAATGTTTTTGACATTCTTCCACCAGCCCAGTTTTCCCTTTTTTAGCTAACCTTATTAAAGTCTTGGCTTCGTTAGAATCATAGGATCTAGAGATGATAAAAAAACAGTTTCACCCAGATTGCCAAAAGATCTCATTGTCCAACAGCTTCAGTGTAGGCATCTATTCATTCACATGACCTTTCTTTCTGTCCCCCCAGCACCACAGTATCCAAGCACAACACCATCTAATACATTTATCCTTACAATATACACTGGGGAAAGAATATGCTATGCCCCCTTTTTATGTAACAGGTACAGGGAGGGTAAATAGCAATACCGGGAGCCTCTGGTGGAGCAGAGTGCTTAGATCTCCCAAGGTCCTAAACCAGTGCCTTCACTTCAAGAGAGCACCCTTCCTCTCAGAGCTCAGTACAGGGTAAAACTACCCTTCAATGCTGTTGTAGCACAGGGAACAGGTCAGCATTCAGAAACATAAGGCAAAGTTGCTATTCTCAACTCCACCTTAGAAGAAATCAATTCTTCTGTAACCACAGCAACACAGAGGCAGAGCAACACAGAAACAAGACCTCATCATCTTGCTATGCTCAGCATCATCCCAGAGTGAAAATTTAGCTACGCATCCTGTGTTGTTTGAGGGGTAGGAGGAGGTGGATGTTTCAGCCCATCTCTGCCTTTCATCTTACATACCTTAGACCGACCACATAGGATCTGATGTACCTGTCCTTTAAAAAGGAGGCTTCAAATGTCCTGGTAATCTGTTAAAGGGATAGAACATGTTATACAAACTTATGCATAGTAATATCACATTTTCATTATGAGATGCTGGGTTTTAGGAGTAACCAGAATGAAAGGCAACTGAACTCCTGTACTCCATCCATTTCTGAACATCCATTCTGGATTCACTGTGTTTTAAGGCCAAAGGAATCATTAGATCATCTAGGCTGACATTTTATGCATCTCTGGTACCTTTACATTGTAAAGCATATTGACTAAAGCATAACGCCCAGAAAAGCAGCCCAACTTGACTTGATAAGCCAAGTGATCTACCATTTCCCTTGGGAGCTCTTTGTTTTTGTCTGTTTTTCTTTTTCTTTCCATTGGATAATCACCTTCACTTTTTAAAAACGTGAACCTTATTTCTCATTTGAATTGTCAGACTTCACTTTCCAACAATTGGTTCTTGCTTGACATTTCTCCATTTGATTAATGAGCCCTTTCGTACTCAGCATTTCCTCCCTACGAGGGACCCAGTACTCTTTAATCAAGTCTCCTCTCAATCTTCTTTCTGGTAAGAAGAACAGACTGGGGTCTAAGTCTCTTGCTCAGGAAAATGTTCTCCAGTTCTTGAATCATGCTGGTGACTCTGCCATACTTTGTTCAACCTGCTCCAATTGTTCAACATTATCTTTAAAATCAGAGCACCAAACCACTCCCTCAGGGTATGAGCACATGTCCATTTGGAGCCAGGTCAAAAGGGCAACATTTCCAAAGAGCAGCAGCTCTTATGGTCTCCTTATTGTTAACTGTAGGCAAGTTGGAAACAATACAAAGTCACAAAACTTCTCCACCTTTACCACTGCATGAAGCAGTGTTAGAGCTGAAGCAGTTTCTCTACCTCAGTCTAGTCCCCAGATTGTCAACAAGTAAGAATTAGGACACAGCAACCTTTGAATGGGCTCTGAATGTGCCTGGGTCCACACCCTCATATTCCAGTAGTGATCTCACCAAGGCAGTGTGTGGAGTTAAAATCACCTCTATTATTATGACTATAAAAGTCAACCTTTTTTCCTCTCCAGAAGAACAGTAAAAATTGCATTTTAGTCAAATGTGGGACTGACTTATCACAGTTCCCCAAAAATCCTGAAATTGTCCTTGCAGTTTTTTTATGCATGAAAATAAAAATAACAAGTCTGGGGGTGGGGGTACAGATGCATGGGAGTGGGGGTTTTAAGTTTTTCTCTCAGTATTTTCTGTGCATTTAGCTCACTGGGCCCCTTCCTTGGTTACTTGACTCTGCTGTGGGATTCTGTAAGGGAAACAGCACTTTGAGGGCTTTATCTATTAGATATCAACTCGTATTCAGAGAAAAAGTTGTTTTTCCTGAAATTCAACCTGAAAATGTGGGATAACTTGTAATCAGATCATTGCTATATTATATCACTGCAATATATAATGGAAACATTTAATGGCACCTCTGTTGAACCCGACTAGAAAACATTTTCATTCAGTGCTGATTCCCTGTTGATAGCACTTTTTGAGACAATCAGTTAACCAGTTTTTAATCTATTTAATATGTGCTTTAGTATTCTCTTCTTTTCAACAGAATATTCTGCGTTTTTCAAAACAAAATATCTTGTGGTAATAAGTTAACAACTCAACCCCCCCACCAAAAAAAAATTAAATAAACAACAACCCCAAAAATCAAGTGTATTACATCGATGCAGTTTTTGATATCCATCTAGGAATGTGTGCCTACCATTTTGTTACTGATATACTTAAGCCATGACAGACAGAACACTTAGAGCATTCAAAATGCAGTTTAAAATGCAGTTTAAAATTAAACCAGTGTAAAACAAGCAGAAGCCTTAGAAAAATGTATCTGGAAGCATTAGGTACCATTTTATTTCATTTAATTTTATAGCATTCTGTCTCTTTAGCTTCCCTTATCTTGTTTTTTTTCATTATCGTAATATTATAATATATTGCTTGCCAGCTTGTTTCCCCTTTACCATTTGTTATATACTGCTATATATTTTCCAGTTTCTGGCTTCACCTCACACCTGAATCAGGCTGAGCTTTTAGTTTATACTGACCTCTTTTTTCATTTTGGAATGACAGGTTTTGGGCCATCTAATAGACTCTTTTTAGAAATGAACTCCCACTTTCCATTGACTTTCTGTCAAAATATCTCCTCCCAGTCAGTTTCATTCATGATTTTCCTTAGTTTTGGACATTTGGCCCTTTTGAAGCACCAAGTAATTCTATTTCCTGAGAGAGTTTTTGGTTTGTTCAGGTTAAATCTAATCAGATCATAAACACTGGCTTCTAGGCAAACATCAGCTTCCAGCTCCATGATTAATTCATCTTTTTTTTTAATCAAAGCGGTGTCTAAAGGAAGCCCCTTGTGCTAGATACAACACCCTGGTTATTAGAAACCTGTCTCTGTTTTAGAAACTCTAGTGATGATAGATTACAGGCTGCATGAATGTCACCCAACTGAAGACTTTCATAACACTATTCTTCTTTCTGTGCATTAGACAGTGGCTTATGGAAGTACTCATCCTGCTCTCTAGTTTAATTTGGTGGTCTATACAGCCACTTGGGGTTTGAAAATTAGCACATTGGTCCACACACATTCAAGGCTGCACAATTCTGAGTTATCCCCAAACTCTAGAACACGTACTGGTGTCTTTTAAAAATCCTGAAGATACCAGACACTAAAGCAGAGATTCATCCATGCAATGCATGTGGTCTACCACTGAGCTATTTCTCCTTTGCTAAGGAGAGAACACAACTGTTGGTCAGTGGTTGCAGCACTCACCTGGGCTGTAGAAAACCCAGGCTTGATTAACACCCTCCCCTAATAGTCAAATTGATATTGATTTCAATGGAAGGTTGATGATGCCTCAATATTTCTGAGAATCTGGGCCTCTTTTGTGCCATTTGTACATGGGGGAACAATATGACCACCAACCTACTTTACAGAGGTTTTGTGAGGATAAAAACATTGCAAAAACTGAGGCATTCAGATATACTCGTGTTGAGCGCCACATAAGTAGATATCCTCCTTTCAGAGACAGAATATCATTTTTTCTACCCAAGGATGTTACAGACTTTAATTAACTCTTGTGGCATCCCTGACAAGGGAGGGAATTATCATCCTCATCCTCATTTCATCCATTAGGAAAGTAAGGGACAAAGGGTTTGTTCTGTGCAAGGTTATACACTAAGCAAACAGCAGAAGCAGGATTCAAAACATGAATTTTCTGAGAGTCAGTTCAGTTCTTTGCTCAGAGAATCACTTTTCCCTCTGGGTACTGAGCATTCAGGCATGGGGCATAACTGCACCTCAGTCTTACTTCCAGTCACACTCTCAGAACACTCTATGGTGAAGAAGAGAAGTTTTGATTTACCAATCTCTCGATCTCTGCGCTGAGATGTCTAAATTCGTCTGAGGTTTGTTTTTCAAAGTCGGGGTGGTACTGGCGATTAGTGATTTTAAAGTTTGCAGCGTAATAGTGTTTCTCTTCTAGAGAAGAGGAGAGAAAAGGAAAGATCAATGCCTAATTACCTTTTGGAATCAAAAGGTCCCTGGTTCAGGTCCCATAGAAAACCCAACTCCAAGTCATAAATACATAAAATACTAATGTGTATGCACAGATATTCAGTGGATGGGAGTAAGCAGTCCTCTGTATCATTTAGGCAACTGATCATTGTCCACTCTGCCTGGACCTCAGCACAGATAGCCAAATGACACAGAAACAGAACAGACTGGGACTTTGAATTTATACTTCAGACAAGCTAGCATGCCTTAAAATGTTCTTAGGGAATTTTTAATTAAATTCTTAATTAATATGGGACAGAAAAGGGGTCCAAAGTGTGTCCTAATGGGTGTTCTCCACACTGGGCTGAATTTCATCTTTGGAACATAACACAAAGAATGCAGCAGTGAATCCCCAGCAACACTTATAGCACTTTTGTTTGGGGTCACAAGACTGTTGCACCTACCGTTGCTCAGAAAAAACACAAGCAGACCAATGATAAGTGCCAGAAATGCTAATACTGAGAGAACAATAAGGGCTATCTTCCATGGCTCCAGACGCTTCATTTGTGTGTCCGAGTGGGTCAGCCTTGGAAGGGGTGGAAAAAAAAAAAGATTTTTTAATACATAAGACAACGAGTATTGAGTCAAATGGTTTGCATGCCTGCTGTCACGCAGATTTATACTGGCCATAGATCTGAACCTAACAGAGTTACATAGATTTACATCAAGAATCTGATTATTTGACCCTAGTTGAACTGTGATGATTCACCTAGTCATTGATTTAGCCCATTTACTCCCATGGAATTACATCAGCCAGCAATCAGGCCCAGTCTTTTCCACTTTCCTCTCGGAAGAGGCATCAGTGATACTGTGTGTCCAAGGCCAAAAGGGTACACAGAGCATTTCCACTCCCAGAGCTAGAGACAGTTCCAGGAGTCTGCATCTCTACTCACAGAAGTGTTCTAGATGATAATGCTGAACCCAAAGGGCAGACAGGAAAGGCTGGTTTCTGCAACAGAGTCTTCAGACCACTCATGCATATTAGTCACTTTTCTAACTATGTTTTTTAATTAAGTGCACCTTTGAATGGCATTTCAGCATGTGCCATGTTCACTCTGGTCTTTGGTCTTTTCCAGAATAATGTCCAACTGATTGCCATGGACATGACTACATGGCCCAAACTCAAGCAAGTATTGAGAAGACATAGGAAGGTCATGCGGCACAGCTGGAAGCTTTTAGTTAAGTTCAGTTAGATCAGAGGATTCACACCTATAACATGGGCTTGCTGATCTCATCACTGGAGGTCACAGGAGGTCCCAAAAATAGCAAAATAACTGCCTTTTACACCTTAGGGCTTAGAAACACATGAGGGGTTGCAGGGATGGTGTGTAGAAAACCTTGCCCACTTTTCCCATTTCACTCTAGTTAAGATACCAAATTGGGGTCCTCCTAATATAAAAGGCAGGTATATCTGGACAGGTACAAGGACCCCTTGTATATCTGCAAAATTGGGCCCAGGCAAGATTGCAGCTTTCCCAGTACCCTTAGTGATACAGATCACTGTGGGTAGCATATGGGGCCATGCCTCATCAGTGAACAAACACAACCAACTGCAGACAGAGAAGCAAGCAGCTCCAAGAATGGAGTTGCAGCTCCCTTGAAAAATCACCTTTAATGATTTTAATTGAGGAAGTTATGTTGCACCCACAGAGAGCAGAGGCCTTGTTTGGCATCCTCTCATGAAGGCACAGGATAATCCAGTTCATCAGCTTATCAAAGGTTCCCTTGTAGGGAGGTTTAAAGTACCTGAAAAAAAATGGCTTCAGACATTTCAAAATTAATCCCAACCCCAGAGGAAAAAAAATCATCCAAAAGAGGAAGCTAGTCACAGGATAACAGCCTTTGGAACTGATTAAAAGCAAGAGCAAATTGATCATTATTTAGCATTTGGTTCTATCATTATTTAGCACTTGTCTTGTGGTAGCCACTAGGCTCAGGACCCTGTTGTGCTATGTGATGTATAAATGCAGAACAAAAAGATGGTTAAGTGCAATATTACCTGTGAAATCCCCTCCCTACCTAATGCATTTCTGGGAGATAGAAATAGCCTGCCATGCAGAAGGAGGTTCTATAGCAGTAGGCAAAGCCTTCTGCCTCCTCTCTGAATGGAATTACTCAGAGTATACCTTGTCAGAGATTACTGCAGGTTTGCAGATGAACAGAAACTTTACTTATGTATTAAAAATAATACCCTAAACTATAAACTGGTTAGGGGGGGGATCAGCAGGTGCTGGGGGAGTCCCTGTTCCCCCGAGCACCGCAAGGAGTGACCAGGAACAATGGTCACAAGCTGGCGGAGGGAAGGTTTAAGTTGGACATCAGGAGGCGCTACTTCACGGTCAGGGCAGCTAGGGTCTGGAACCAGCTTCCATGTGAGGTGGTGCAGGCTCCCACCCTGGGGGTTTTTAAGAGGAGGCTGGATGACCACCTTATTGGGGTCATTTGACCCCAGTGCTCTTCCTGCCATGGCAGGGGGTCGGACTAGATGATCTGCTCAGGTCCCTTCCGACCCTAGAAACTATGAAACTCTGAAACTATGAAAGCCACAGATTCTTTCAAAAAGAGACATCCCCACTCCACATGGTCAAAAGCTTTTTTCCCCTTGTTCCAAGGCCTCCCAGAGACAAATAGCCCACTGAATGGAGCCTTGGCTCATCACTTATCATGAATTGCCTTGTCATGTCAAAGCCAGTTGATCAGGTAACAAAAGAGAATTCAAGCATGCAAGTAGATTGGCAAAGTAGCTGGACCTACACAAAGTATTCAAAATCCCTCTCAGGCTTTAAAATGAGGATACTTTTGGTTAAAATGGAAAAGTAAAGGAAGGATTCTCATATCAGATCCAGTAAATAGGGTTGGGCAAGGAGGGCACCAACCCCAGGTGCCAACTTAGAGGGGGAAGATGATTGATTGTGCCTACTACCCAGAACACAAAAAATGCTGGTTATGCCTCTGATCAAAACACTGGATATACTGGTCTGAGTCCTGCGGGCAGGTGAGCTTCTATATTCACACAAAACACCACTGACTTCAGTGGGACGCCAGGAAGGCGCACCAGTTTGCTTGTGTGCTGGGTCCAAGAGTCCTGAAAATTCACTCAGTGTTTATGAAGGTAATAGCTCCTGGAGCGGCCACCAGGGACCAGAGAATCTCCCATCACATCCCCTTTTCTTAGGGGAAAAGCAGAAGACCTCTCATTCAGATGAATTAGTTATCTGTGCATCTCAGCACGGCACTCACAAGCCCAGCCCCCATGGTACTACAGCACATCAATTCCTCACAGACTTGAACGTATTTGCTTTCACAACATCCCTGGGAGGAAAGGAAGTGCCACTACCTCATCCTACAAATGAAGTATGGATGTTACCAAAGTTTGTGTCAGGGGAGAGAACCAAACTTGAACCTTCCTAGTTCCTTCCTGGCACCCTAATCACTGTGCTTGCCTTCCTCCTCCTTCATTCCCTCCCAGTGCTTCGTCATGCTTCAGAAACCTAACTTGTGATTCCTTGACTTGCTCATCTGTTACTAAAAGCTCTAAATCTGGCTCCCTTTGCTTGCCTCAGAAACGTAGCTGGAGAGCTCCTTGGTCGCTTCTTCCTCAAACAGAAGTATTACTCTAATTTATGGGGCTCCTTTATTCCCCAAGAATTCCCTCTTACTCAGGATACGCTCTGAATGTTAAATCAGAGAATAACCTAGCATTTGCTCTTCAGACCTACCTCCCTTAGCAGTAGCATAACTAGAGGTGAGAGAAAGGGTCACCTGCCCCAGGCACCAAGTTAGGGGGGGTGGCAGAATTGTCCCCCACCCCTGCAGAGTCTGTGCCCCAGAAGCTTTTACTTGCCACTTTAAGAGTAACAAGCAGAGCACGCAGCAGCAGCAGCACCTCAGTCAGGGACTATTTAGGAATTCCTGGCATGGGTAAGACTGCTGCCCCTACCCTGCCCTCCCCTCTGGGTTTGCCCCAGGCACCAACTCTGCTTGTTACTCCACTGTCTCTTAGCTTGGGAAAGGCCCTTAGTCCTACATTGCCTTAGCAGCATTGTGGCCTGATCTTAGAGCATTACAGGTATTATTTAGCAGAACACATTGTACTACAGGAGCTGTTTTGGAAAGTAAACCCTGGAATGGGGAAAATGAAGTGAAGTCGACTTCCTCTGGATAGAACAACATCCACATGTCAGAAAAGGTATGAAGCCAAGCCTCCCAGCCAACTCTTAGGTGGCCTCCCAGGAGGGGGTGTCAGGAACGAGTAAGGCTACATGTAAAATCTCCACCCATAAGACAGGGAGTTTATGCAAGTGGAGGAACACAGAGGCACCTGACACAAATTAAAAAACAGAGTCAAGATTCTTGAATGGATAAATAGGGCAGAGGTTTAATGCTTCTACTAATGTTGTTGCTCTTAAGATTATTCTGCCACCTTCCTCGTTGAAAGATGGTTTCTCTCTTAAGTTAAAGGTCCAGAGTCTCTCCTGCAATGAGAGGTACTTGAGAGGTGCAGGATGAGAAGGGTGAAAGTTATGCTTCTCCATTGATTCTGATGAGACTTTTGTTAGTGTCCACCTTGCTGTAGAGACTGAAGCACTTTAGGGACTGTTCTATTTTATGTGAGTTATACATGGTCTCTTTGGGCTCATATGCCAGGTGTGAAATGGAAAAGTACCTACTCTCTGTTCCCTCCCTACTCCACATAGGAGCATGAGCCACATCACTTTATATCAGCAACAATTCATGGTCAGAGCTACGATTTTGAAAAGGGGGATGCAGATGGTGTGGTGCATCACTGCCTATAACACTTTTTGTTTTTCCATTTAAAAAGAAACTAGAAGCTTCACTAATATGCTAAGGGCCTTGGGCTATATTGTTCAGTTGAAGGTTGAAGCAAAAACAAAAATAAGATTATTAGAATATGAATTAATTTGCACATTAAAATCTCTGTCTTTCAGCGATCCAGGAACCACATCACTACAGTTTCTGCATGCCTTACAATTTCGAATGCATTTAATTGCAAAGCTCACCATGCTCCACAGTAGCAAGGGGTTTTGTTTGCCTGTTTTGTGTGGGGGGATCTGGATTACAGAGGGGCAGATGTAAACTTCTCTGCTGTTGGAGATGTGACTACTGCACACACAGATGTACACAGTCTTCTTCTAGTACAACATTAGTGACATTGCAGTAACACAGGTTTGTTGTTTGCCTAGCTGCCAAAGTAAGATCAGAGGCCAGCTTGTACAGCCTAATTTGCATTGGATGACAAAGCTTTTTTCAGTGACTTGTCCAAGGTCACAGATGAAGCCCACAGTATAGCTGGGAATCAGACCCAGGCCTCTGAATTACAGGTTTGTGCTCCTACTGAACTATCCTTTCTGATACAGACTATGCGGCTGCAGTTCAGTGGAGTATATTGACAGGGTGTAAGGCCTGCGCTAGTAAACCCTCTGGACACTATTGAAAAGCGCCTCCATAGTGCTCCTCAGCCTACAATGAAGCATGTAAATACTGCCTGGGGACTCAGTGCTTGTGAAATTCAAGCCATTCAATTAGAAAAATGGACTAAAGAGCCTAACTTCAAGCCTTATGGTTTAAAACTCTTTGGGCCTCATCTACTGCACCAGGGCTGAGCTATGCTATAATGTTCAGCCTCTTCCTAGAAGGCAAGGATAGACTGGGGAGATGCCTATGACCCCAGATGGCCAGCTACCTCAAGGGACCTGTGCGGCAGAGCTGTAAGGGAGAAAGAGTCCTCCCAGAGTGAGATGGCCCTGCACTGTCCAGCCAGAACAAACCAATGGTAGAAAGAGTCACACAACAGTCCTACAGCCACAGACGCATATTTAGAGTGCCTGGCATGACCTCTGAAAGCCCATTAAACACCTCCCGATAGTTCAGAACATGACTGCCTCTCTCTAGGGTGGCATGCTACCTGCCCACATTCCTAGGAGCAAAGCTCTTTTTAAGGCAGGGCCCAGACAGCAGCTCAGAGCTGTTTCCTGAACATGGTGCTCATGTTGATTAGGAGTTCCCCATTTTTAGAGGTAAGCTCTCCAGGAACACCAGCAGTTATTCTTGGCAGCAGATCATCTCTGCATTTCAAACCCCATTTTACTGTAACTAGATCTGGGCTGGGATTTTTTCAACAGAATAGTTTTAGTCAGAACATGCTGATGGGTCAAAACCAAAACTTTGCACAGCAGCGTACCAGTTGGGACTAAACTATTTTTCCCTCCAGGAAAGGCTTCCAAAGTCCAGGGAAGACCTGCTGGTCAACACCAGAGACAGAGAGAGAGTGAGAGACAGAGCAAGAGAAACCTACCCATCCTAGAGTCACTAATTGGCTGGTGCTAAGAGCACTCACTTGGGTGCAGTAGCATAACGAGGGTGAGGTAACTGGGACAGTTGCTTTGGGTGCTGACTTGGGACTGGGAGGGGCAGAAAAAAGAAACAGGTGCTGCTGCAGCTACACAATCATGCAGGTAGCATCACAGGAGCCAAAAGTTGCCATTGCCCCCATGCGTCACAGATGCTGTGGATGCCTGGATGCCTTGTTATGCCTCTGCTTGCAAGGTCAGAAACCCAGGTTCAAGACTTCTTCCTGAAGCAGCACCAGTGGCTCTGACATCCCAGGGATGTGCCCTAACTACCAGACTACACACTTTTCTTCCTCTCTCCCTTTGAAAATTCTCATTTGATCCCAGTGTGGAACAAAAATATTTTTGAAATTTCAAAGGCTTTTCATGGGGGAAGAAAAAGTCATTCCCAGTCTGCTCTTCCTCTAACATGCACCTGGCTGCATTCACTTTGAGAGCCAGAGCTTATCAGAATGAATGGCGAGCTTCTCCACGATCAGACTTTTACAATGCAGTGGAAAATGTCTGTTTTGGATCATGCAATCTGCAAGCAATTGGTGATGGAATCACTCCAGCAATTACTGTCCTAATTTAAAACAACCTTGTTTCCTGTATAAACAAAGCTCACCCACTCAAATATCAGCATCTGGCAAATTTCTAACAGGGCCTGCCTTAAGAAGCATTTACCAGGTTACTCAAAAGCACCAACAATTAACCTCTTGGCTGGTAATCCTTCATTGCTAGACATCCTGGAAAAACAATCTGATCTTTGAGGGCAGATCATGCTGCTTGCTTTGTGGAAAATGTTGCACTCCCTGGAGCTCAATGAGGCAGGCAGAACCTGGTTACAGTAGTAAGGGACAATGCCTAAATGAGCAAAATAATAATTTCTTTCATCCTAACTCTTGCCAGTGGATTTACTTACCCTGAAAGTATTAAATCGAGCCTATTACAAATACTACTAGTACAGTTGGCTACCCAATAAAGTAATTAATTGGAAAACAAGTTCAACACAGCTTGGATAATTAAATGACTTCTGCACGCTTTGATGTTTTGGCTCTTTGCAAAAATGTGCACAGCCCTCCTCCCCCCTTTCCCCATTGGCCAACCTCCAGCAGCTCTGGTGCTGTTTTCAGTAGCAGTAACAACACAGAGGCCTGTTTACATGAACAACTGACTGTACAGTGGTTACCGTGCTGTCATTTAGTACTTGCTTAAACAAGTATTAAATGACAGTACAGTAACCTGCATTACTGCGCAGTCTTATCACTGCATGGTTAGTTTTAGCTGCTACTGTGCAGTAGCAATGAGCAACTGTGCAGCAGCTCATGGCTTCCCCGCAGTAGCATTGGCATCACAGTTTGTTCCTAGCAATGCTACATCTTGTGTAGAAGTGCCCAGAAGCAACTACGCCCCCCCCACATTGCATGTAGAGGCGGATTATACTAGATCTAAACAAAACCCGATGTAAGGGATGGTCCCTACCCCAAAGAGCATCCAGCCTATGCAAATAAGATTGACGGAGGTAGAAGACACAGCACCCGCATCTCTGAATTGGAGACAGGGATGAGACAGAGATTTAGTGCATTGCCCCAAACCAGAGAGGGATGAGTGGCAGAACTGGAAATTGAGAAATTACCGTTTTTGTGGGGGGAGGGTTCATGTATACCCCATCATATCAGGGCTAATCAAGCCAAGCACTCAGAGCACACAGTTTCCTCCTCCTAAACAAACTCTGGGGGATCCAGCCTCTACCTAGAAGGCAAAGATAGACGGGGGAGATGCCTATGACCCCAGATGGCCAGCTACCTCAAGCAACCTGTGCAGCAGAGCTGTAAGGGGCAGGGAGAGTCCTCCCAGTGTGAGATGGCCCTGCACTGTCCAGCCAGAACAAAACAACAGTAGAGAGAGTCACACAACAGTCCTACAGCCACAGACACATATTTACATTTGTTATAGACATCAACAAGTAGGTGCTAACTCTCACCAGGCATCACAGGCTGGCTTATTTCTCACGGGCTCCTCAGCAGAGGCAGGTTTAGCAGAAGCAGCGTGGAGGAAGGGTCAAGCTTTGCAGGTGCGTTCCAGGAGATAGACACCTGCACACGGAAGCTGAGGAGC